TCATGGAATTTTTATTAACAATATTCACTTTTCTTTTGAAAGAAAGTTAATTTCCTGGGAAGCTAGAAATTAAGCAGAATGTCCTAAGCAGCAAGTCTTTTGTTTACTGTGGAAGATACTCATTCTAGACTCAAAAATGATTTTATTTTGTTAAAACATGGTGCAGATACATTTTGGGAGGTCACTTTTGCATCAAAGATGCTATAATGTTTAACGATCATCATCTTTATTTCTCCATTCTTACCGTTGTGCTGCTGCAGATTGCCATTAGGATAGAAGATTAGGAACAGGAATCTAAGATAATTGTGTAAAGAATGGTTTTTATAATCCATGCTAATTAAAAAAAAAAAAAAAAGCATGACAAACAACTGGTTTAATATTTCAGGTATAAAAAAAGCTGTCAGATATAAGGCTAATGCAGTTAGGTATGTTTTTGGGCAATTTGCTTAATGTAGGCATGATAATAGTAATTAAAATATAGTAAGGATTAATAAGTTGCATTGTTATTACATTATCTGGTAGTCATATTTTATTTAATCCTAGTGTGCCAGACATTATGATCAGAACATACCTTGTTCTTCCAGTTCTCTTCAAAAACCAAGCTATTGACAGAATGCAAGTGTTCCAGTTGAGAAGGGCTGTGCTGGCATGAACAGCCCCACTCCAGATTTGTTGCTGATCAGAGATGGCAGTAGTTGTGGCTGTGGAGCATTTCTGAAGGACTGCGAAAGCGTGGTCAGACCAATTACTTTATTGTTCCAGCACCCTTACTGCACAGAGGGTCATTACACTCAGAAGTAGAAAACAAGTGCCCTGAATCTGTCTGTGTAATTCACCAGACAGCTGACCGGGCTGGGTACTTGTGATGTCTGACCAAAATTCAACACCCTTAATTACTTGTAAAAGGGAGGATTTTTAAAGACATATCATTGGCAGTTAGGTACCTAGCTAATTCCCACGGTACACCTTGTCTGTGAGCCTGAGCTGATGGTGGCAAGCAAACCTCTCACCCCGTTCGTTGGAACACTGCACTTCTTCGTTGCAAAAAGTAAGAATGGTAAGACTATTTTATAGTTGTCAATCATAGTATGATATAAAACTATACCACGTGTTGTCTGTGAGGAACAGCTGCTATGAGAGAAAGGATAAAGCATACTCCTTTATTTCTGAGGGATTTGCTTTTGACATCAGAAGACCTTCCCCAACAAAGGCAGAACTTTTTCAGCAATCCCCTTCATCTGCTGCTCAGTGTCTTGAGGCAAAGCAATGATGAAACAGCCCTAAAACTTTCATTCTCAACGATCACCGTCATGCAGAGTAAGGCTTTAAGTGCTTTAAGCTGAGGGAAGTCAGAAACAGTTGTTCCTAATAACTTTTATTTGAACAAAGCCATGGGATTCAAGTTCGAATAAATTAGATGTGTCAGTTTTTCTGGTATGAGAGCTTTTTGGTTATTAGGATTAAGTTGTGGTCAAAAAAGGCTACAGCTTGATGGAGTGACCAAACTGTTATGTAAAAAGTTTTTAGTGTATGGACATTTTGACTACACCTATGGATGTTTTACTTAAACCTGGAATGTGGCTGTTTCCATTTAAGAGTGTTTTCACAGAATGGGCTGTCCCTTTGTCTCTAGCAGTCTGTCATTTTACAATGACATTTTCCTAATTAGAATATATAAAAAGTAAAATTTATATTTCTTCTTTTACATTGTATGAAAGCCACAGAGAAAAAAAATAAAATTACTTTGCAAGGTACAGAGAACACAACCAATTATTTGTTGTCAAATATACAACATAAGTGAAAACACAGTTTTCTTTTTGAAAAATGCTGATCTCTTGATATTAGCAGCAACCACTGTTACCATTACTGTGTAGAAATTCAACTATTCTAAGTTATCAATGTATTACTTGAAAATAAACTAACTGACAGTAACCTGTTTGACTACTGAAAATTCAGGAGTGTGCTAACGGTTAACAGAATAATAGAGATGCTAAATGTTCCTGTGTGATAATTATGACTATCTAGTTGCATTCTCGGGATTCTGGATTAAGGTGTTGTTTTTTTTTTTTTGTTTTGTTTTGTTTTGTTTTGGTTTAACGTTATGGTGAATATGCAATGGGTTTAATTTTTTGAGGGACTACTTTGTGAAAACTGGAGTCCATATTATCCTCCCTGAGATCTGCACCCAAAAAATAACCTCACTGTTGTGATTTTCTGTCTACTGCACACAGGGTGCAAGTCCCCCCTCCTTTCAACTTCAGCTGTGATATTTTCTCAGTTTGGCAACTGCAAAAGAAAATTGGTAAGAGTGGGCATGCACTTAAGTGTCTTGGAAGTCTTGAAAGAAAATGAGAAGCTTTTTTACACCCACTGATTTTTATGGGTTAATTTATTCTGGTCTCTGCTAATGGAGTTGTATTATCAGTAACTAATGGAATTTTGTTAATGTTAATGGGACTCAAGACATAACATAAAGATCTTTATGACTTACAGTATGGTAAATCCCACCTCCAGAAGAATCACCATGCCAAGCTTACTACAACAAGCTCCTTAAGAAATTTCTTCACAAGAATACTTTATCTTTTCTTTTGATACCACACCAGAGGGAGAGAGATAAAGATGAAAAGAGGTTGCAGGTTTAATTTTGTGATTGCAAAGATAGAAGTTTTCTAAACTTTTAAAATTTTATTTTGGCAAGATGTCCTCAAAAACTGCTATCTCTCTACATGCTTATCTAAAAAAATACAGTTAGTTGTGGTGTCTTGCTAGTGTTTGCAATTTAGTAAAGCAGAAATTTGAGGCATTCTGGTCAATTCAGTTACTCAGTCTCAGTTCACAGTAAATTCTTGGGAATTGATTGGATTTACACAAACAAGCATTTTACTAAAAGCACTTCTTTAGATTATGGATGTCTTTCAATTTTATGTGCTTATATGTAACTTATCAGAGGAGCTAGTAGAGCTTTTTGTGTGAGGCATATAGTTGTATATACATTTTCTCCCACTTACTATTTGGTGTGTTCAGTACTGACCTTTGATTAGCAACATAGGCAGTTAAATAGTAAAAGCATTTGGCATTTTTTGCAATAGAGTCTTGGAAATGGTAGGGTTACCTTTTGTAGGTTTTTTTTTTGCCATACTTGAAAATAAATAATGTGTAAGTCAGCACAGGGAAAAATTGCTCTTGTGTCTGCTCCAGAGTTTCAGAGACCCATTCATCTGTGAAGGCGGAAGAAAAGGGGACCAACCTCCAATCTGAGGAAATAAACCCGTATCAAAACAAAATAAACAGTCTTAACATTATGAGAAATTGCTGAGGAAAGGTATTTTGTCTGTTTAGAGAGAGCATTTGTGGTTGTAAAATGAATTGACCTTGGTTATGCAAAATATATTCAATATGGAGAGCTGGTTGATGGAAGTCAGATTTTCAAAGTTGAGATAAAGAGAATCTTGAATTAGTTTTTTACTACCTCTGAGACTGCAGTTATCTTCTCTCTAGTAAATGCCCATCGGGGATTTAAGAAATTCATAACACATTAAAGTCCTCTTGAATGATTCAGGTTGGTGCAACCTGCTGATTATACTACATACAGACATTAGTGTGGTGTCTGGGCTAAATAAAATTCTGATGTTATTAAAATGGATTAATTGCTGTGAAGGATCGAAGAATTAGGCAAAATGGATATTTTTCAATATAATCTACTTTAGAACTATTGAATGAATGAAAATATTCTAACTCCTGGTATATTTCTTATGTCTTGATGTCTTAAAATTATAATTGCAGTTCTAGCACTTCATTGCTTTTAAAACAAAGATCAGTATAAAGAAGGCATCTAAACTGAGAATTAGCCATATAGAGTTAATGATTAAAAGTACAGTAAAAAAACAAAGAATTCATGTAGGTATGGTATACCAAATAATAAGAAAAAAGTGTAATGCAGATAAGCTTATAATGCTGTAATCTTTAGTGTGATTTTAGAAAGAGTAACTCCCCACTCAGCTGATGCTACGTATTTTGCAATATCTCTTGCATTCCTTGGAAGAAGTTGTCTTGATAACATGATATGAAATAGAAAGCAGCTTTCAAGTGTGTGTTCTTCTAAGGCATGACTACTTTTCTCCGCTTTATTTTCACCACAAGGAGATGCTTGTCTTTCGTTTTTGCATTGAAATTCTAACCTGGAAATGTTTCTTATCAAACCTCATAGGAAACTGGGAAGAGCTTTGCTTTCAAACGTATCAGAATTTTCAAAATAATGGCATTAGATATATGATTAATTGATCTCTCCATGTGACAAGACTGAGGCGTATAGATGTGTTGTAAATTCTGAGACCAGCTGTGCATATTTAATGTGCTACAGGATAGTCATAATTAAAAGAGTTAGATGACATGATGGAAGCAAGCATAGGAAAACCTCAGGCAGGCATCAGCAGAAAGGATAACAGCAAATAAACAAGTTTTTGTTCAGAGGATTTAGAAAAAACATTTTGCATTCTATTGTGAAATTTTACTTTGAGATTTTCCTCTATTTAAATTCCATCTGTTTTCATAGAATTATTTCTACATTGAACCATGAAGAAAAAGAGAAGCGTCATGTCCATGTTGCCCTGTAATTGCAGCATGATGTTAGGCATGCTGGTCAGGGTGAGATTTGCATAATAATATGTCCATATGTAAATATTATGTTGCTGATTTAATTTTAGAAAGGAGGTAGAAGTATACTTAAGCTCATTGTCACTTTCCTGGCACATCTGCTGTTTTCATTTCCATAGGTTTTGAAAACTCATTTTGATAATATTGCAGCTGAGGGAAATTAAGAGTATATTGTTTCCAGGCAATTTCACTAATGGAACAAAGTATGATACATTGTATGGTACAGTAGTGTGCAGAGAACAATATGTAAACTTTTCAGATTAAACCTTACTTTTACTGTCGTAAAAGACACTTATAGAAAGAATGTTTCTAAATATATTTTTTTTTTAAATCTGTTTTGATTACAGGCATTGCTATTTCTGATGAACTTGATAAGGTAAGATTTACTGCATGCCTAATGAACAGTACAAAAAGACCAATGATTGTGATAATTTTAGGCAATGAGAGCTGCATTTCCCTGTCCTGGCATACGCATCTCAGTTCTCTTGGGTTCAGAGGAAATCTGGGTATGGAAAGCTGTATGGATAAGTGCAGTATATGTTGATACATTAGGAGCTTGATCCAGGATGGGCTGTCAACTGTGGAAAAAAGGTATCTCACTGAGTTTCAGAGACTGTCAGTGAGGGCATGGAAATACTTTTGATCTTGATACCATCTTTGCTTAAAGTAGTCTGTTGGGTTACTTTGTGTACTTTTGGAAACATTTAGCTTTAAATACCTTATATTAATGAAGTCATTAATTGTGCATTCTTAGATATAATTTGTGAGAACATTCAGGAATAATTTTTGCTCCCCAGATTTGACCAGGAACGAACAGGACATAAAGATCAGTCTTTACTTCCTTGCTGAATGCAACAATGTTCTCTTCTGGTTTGGCCCTTTTGATGCATTATACAGTTAACATGAATTTTATTTTTAGCTGTAATAAACTCTTTGTTGAAAGAGTAATCAAGCTAATTTTTCAAAGTTCCGAAGGAAATAGAAAACCTTTATCTTCCCTGTTCTCATCAGTGAACAGCAGTACGCTTCTAGTGCCAGGAATCTTGGGTTGTGTTCTTGGTGTCAGAAACCATTAATCTCTGTGAAATAAGATCAAAAGGTATATAAGACACAGGAATAATGCCTAATATAGGAGACAATTTAAAAAATATCTTTCCTTTCTGTTGGTAAAATGAGGACACAAACCTTTCTGACACAAGTGTGTATAAAATACCTACACTGGATTCTTCAGGAAAGTCCAATTAGACAAGATTGATCACAGTTACCGTGTGCTTGTGTATATGGGGCTGCCATTTCAAAACCATGGCCTTCACTTATCATTTTGCCCTTGATCTTGCCTCATCTTGTCTTTTATGAGTATAACAGTATCTAAGTCTTCTTTCCTACTTATTTCCTTAACTGTGCTCATAATTTATGAAAAATACAATTAGAAAGTCCTTCCATTAGAATGTTTACCTTTAAGAATACTTATGAAGGACTCCATTTGGTTTTGTTTGTTGAAAAGAACTAAGAAATACTGTTTGTGGGAGGAAAAAGACATTTGGGGCTAGAGACTATCATATACTTTTTACATATATTTTTTAGGAGGTACTTCTGTGTTATTTTGTTTTAAACAATGATGGATTATTGTTCAGAAACATTGATTCTTTTTAAATTTGATTATTCAGTGTGAAAATTGAGAGGGGAACATTGGTGAATTTCCTCAGGATCCAGTCTGAGCAAAGAGTTAATTTGCTTTTTGTTACCATATAATTTATTGTTTATGATTTAAAATAGGAAGGTGGTGAGGTTTTTTTTTTAATAAAACTCGGCATTATCTTATGTACATTCAACAGCATACATTACATGACAGCTTTACAATGCTGCATCTGCTGTAACATCTGTTTCTGATGAGAACAGGTAAACTGAAGGTTCCTGGAATCAAATGTTATTTATAAAATAAATAAAAAACTGAAACAGTAAATCTCTAAACATGCTTCCTTTGTGCAGCATTGCACAGCAGTCTTCCAGGATAGATTTACAGAAGCAATGCAGTTTTTCATCTCTGTAGGCTCTAGTGAATTTAATTTCTATTTCTTGTCTTGCCCCTTAAGGATTTTGAATGGACAAAAAGACTAGTTCTGTGTTAAGAAATTAAGCATAGCCAGGGCCATTTCTGTGGAATCCTGCCTCCTAGGAATGATCCCTTACAGGAGCTAATTACTGAAATGTTCCTGTGACTTGTTTCTAAGTGTATTAATTGGCTTGGGCCAAAAGCAACCAAAGACTACCTGATAATGGTTTAACATTAGACAGACTTTTCACCTGAGTTTGTTTTTCAGGTATAAATGTATTCAAATTCATTGTGGTTCCTTTCCCAGAAATACATGCTGATACTACAGCTTCCTCGTATAGGCTGTGGCAGCACTGAGTCATTTTTCAAACCACATTCATCTGCGGTTTGGATTAACCATTTAACCCTTCAGATGCATGTCATGGGTCTAGAACAGCATGCCCAAACTTGGCATTGGATTCTATTAGAACACTGGCATTGTATAGATGTCATGAGAGACATAAAGCTAAACACGACAATAAATTCTTCTATACACTCTTCCTTGCTTTATTTTCCTGATGATCAGGAACATTCTTGGGGATTAGGGCAGAGCCCATAATCCTGCTGTTCTATCTGTCATTTAGATTATGAACCCAGAAGAAGCAGAGAGTGCATGTCTATGCTTCTTTATTTTTGTTTCTCATTATGTAAGTGTTTTTTTAAAAAAATATTTCTTTCTGGCTGCAGTAACCTCTAGCTGCCTTTGTCAGGGGAGTACTTGATCAGTACTGTTGGTTGATAAAACTCCTCCTCTAAGTAATCCAGCTAATTAGTTAGTTGCTTAGTTACTCGAGCATTTGGATTTAGAAAACCAGTTTGCTGAATTACAATCACTTTTGTGGAAGGGTGTTTAATTTAAATGGATTCTTGTCAAATATATGCTGTTATTAGCTTTGTGACAGTACTTAGGGCTTCAGTCCAAGACAGAGGTAGAGAAAAACAGTCAGACAAGGTCAGTCTTTCAGTCAAATTGGAAGCTTTCAGTCTGACACAGTCTAATAAAATTTCTGATCTCACTGATATTGTTGCAAAAAAAATTCCCGGGTTTACTGCAATTGAAACAGATTTATTGTATAGATTCCCTCCTTTACTATCTCATTTACTTCAGACTTGCAGAGTTTGATGTTCTATCTCTCTTGATGATTCAGCCTACATCTCTAGGCCATGGAAGCTATGTAAAATCAGCAACTGGCACTACAAGTATGGTGTGTAAGGAAAGAAAATGAGAAGGGATGCATTGTGACTCACAGATTTTAAGGCTAAAGTGCAGAGTTAATATAATCCAAATTTCTGAATTGATTCACCCTACTTACTACTGAACAGAAACCACGCATGCAAGTGTATAGTTTCCTCAAGATCCTCAATAATGTGAAGAATTTCATGTAAACAAAAAAGTTGAGCAAGGATGTTAGCCTTTCTGTGAAATTCATGGAAATCTAGGCTGATTAAAAGATTCTAGGGAAAACCACTGAATTATTTGTGAATTACAAGATTTTTTCCTAAGTGTGTTTGGACACTTCTCTTGGGAGTGATAGTTCAAATACACACAGAAGTATAGTATAGCCATACTGCTGAAACTCTGGTGTCTTAGGTGAATGCTCTGACCACGAGACTATTGATGATGTGCCTCCTCTAGAACTTGCTCCTGCTGGATGATCCTACTTGTCTATATGTCACAAAATAAAATGTAATATATGTTGCACTGTAGAACGTCTCTATTATAAGATACATTGAGGCAAAATGTAGCCAGGATGCTACAGTGCAGAAAGAAATATTTAAAAAGGGTTTCTAGGGTTGTACCCATTTCAGCAGTGTTTCAGAACCAGACCATACAAAAAAGGGAGTCGCGCCATTTACCTCTTGCTACAGTTGAGAGTATCTAAAATATTGACATTTTAAAGCAATTTAAAAGGAGGTAGGGGAAGGTTTATTAATCTTCTGGCTTTTTATTATCTAAAGAACACTTAGTGAATATTTTCCATGCTTTTTTTTTTTTTTTTTTTTTTTAACTGCAAATACAGAGACTAGAAATATTTTCTTCTTAAATAGGTGACATTTTCACATAATGCCAATATTTGATAGATTGGTGCTTTACTTAAGATTCATGTAGTGGATCTCTTACAGATAATGTGACAGCTGTCATAACATTGTGAGATTTGTCCAGAATTCCAAACAATGTCTTTCAGTCACTGTAAACATTAATAATGGGAGACACCTAAGTGTTAGAGATCCAGAATCAGACTTGAGTGAAGATGATCTAATAATTCATAACAGATTTTGACCCTTAATGTTAATATAAAAACATTTTTTCTATGATGCATCTAGAGTATTCTTTCTTCTTATTTATAGTATTACTGCAATGAACACAGATTATAATTAATAAAATAGAGGAAACAATTACACCTAAGTCAGAAAAATAAACAAGTTTCTTCTTGCCCCAAAAGTATCTCTCACTATGGAAGTTCCCTCAAAATCCATATAAGAAATTAGGAATACCGATCTTTTTAAACTATGCTTAAATAAATGGATACACATATGTTGTTGTGCTTCCTGATAAGGGGTTGCATACTGCAACCACATCTCAGCACAACATGAAGATGAGATTCAGCCATCCACCAGTCTTTCCCTTCTCCTGGTCTCCACATAAAGGAAGCTTGAGCATGTCAAGTTGGTAGCCACTGAATTGGATAAGTGGATGACACCTGGACTGCATCATAAAATAATCCTCTAAGTTTATTTAGTGAAGATTTAAATACCTACCTGTCCTGAAAATATTTCTGTGCACACTAATGTCACTGTCAGTCTATTCTGTTATTTATGGGGGGAATATAAAATGGAAATCAGTTAAGATTCTAAGGTTTATATATATATATAAAAGCTTCTAAAACTTGTTTGAGAACAGAATACTTCATCTGAATTTGTTGAAGCTTTTGAAATAAGGTGCCAAATAAACATCCTGGTGTTCTGAACGGGGCTGTCTCTGATTCTTTATTTACTGTTTTCACTGTGGCTGCTTATATAGTTGAAAGGAGGGAAATAAATTAGGTCACTGAAACTGTGGTGTACTAATCTAACAAGATTCAGAAAGGAAATCAAGGTGATAAAGTAAGGCAAAGCATGACTATGTCATGTAAATTACATTTTTATTAAGTAGACTATGAAAGTGCTACTTTAATCCCTAAAACGTCTAGAAAAGAAATCAGCATAACAAGGATGGACACAGCATTCATGGTTTACTTATTCATATGCTGATGGTGCAGTGTACAGTGTCAGGAAAAACGGTACTGAAAAAAGGACAGATTTTTAGGTGCTTTTCATTTTCATTTAAGGGATTGAAAGCTTTTAGCAAGAAGAACACAGTAAGTTGTTGCAAGTTGATCTAGCTCCAGGAACCATTTTTATTAGCTATCGGAAATTATCATAGGGAGAAAGTTAAGGTAGAAAATGGCTAGAGTAGCAGTAATAAACCTCAGAAGGGGCCAGATGTTTCTTACTTAAACTAATGTAAGCATCTTGTGTAATGAAGGCATTGTGGGCAGTGGAATAATCTTTTTTTACTAGCTCACAGGCATATGATGGTAGTTACACTCATGACAGGCTATGCCTGTCAAGTGACCAGAGGCCACTGTCATCTAGTCTGCATTACCTAATTATGACACAGCCCCAGACAGTGCACAAAATGTATATTTGTAAGTACATAAAAGAAAGACATTAGTGGTTAGGTATTCTAAAGCCTTTGAAGCCATGGTGCTTTCCTCAGGTTTCTCTCTTCTGTATTGTCTGCATTCCATTTTCAGTGGTTCTTCTGCATCACGTCAACCTTTCAGAAAACCGACACTATGTAAAAAGTGAATTAGTCAAGTGACTGGAGAGGCGTATGGAGTGCAGTAATGCACTCACAGGCATGTTGCAGAAAGCAGAACAAAAGAACAAGGGTGAATGAGCCTAATCCAGGGCCTGGGTCACAGTTGGGTCTGTCAAAATGGAAGCTCTTGGAGTTCTGCTGAGCAAAATTGCAGCATCTAGCAAGAGCAGGGTAAATAAAATTCATATGAAAGCAGTTTGCAGCCTTTTTTTGTTTGTTTCATTTCAGTAGAGGCCTCTACTTCAGACTGCTTTTACCATATCTGTGTCAGTTAGGAAGAGACTTTAAAAATGGTTTGCTTTTAGGAAGATGAGAAAATATGGTTGCTAGGCTAGGTAATCACTGTGCTATACTTTTTCCAGATGCTCTTTGTTTGGATAGTGTTGTTTCATGGCAGGAATATTTATCGAGACACTGAGCTAGGTAACTGCCAAGGATTTGTTTTCCTAAAATTTTCTCTCATTAAAGGATAGGAATAGAATATATCTCTCCTAATTGGGAACACTGTATTTGAAATGTCTTTGCTAGCCTAGAAAAGAATTTAATTAAAGCAAAATAAATATTCCTATCCCATTATTTTGTATCTATTTTTTTTGCATACATGCATGTTTTTTAGTTTGACTATACTGTTGCACATGACTGTTTACCTACAACTGTTCTAGTAACGTTGAGAACAGAGATACTCACCACTTCACAACAGCTTTTTCATAAAATTTTAAAGGACAATTTGTTTCCTTAATCTAAATTCCTAATATAATGATGCAAATTATCGCTACTGTTTTGAATATTTCAGTTGAATTTTGCTTACTTCTTGTAATCCTCTTCAGCTATCTTCTTCCAGTAAGTGGTTAAAAATATGAGTACTAGTTTCAGAAATACATTTTATTAAAATGTTAATACCATTTTCAGAACTGAAAGATACATTATGTAAATCCCAGCAGGGTTATTTTTAAAATGTCAAATGCGGATGTATTTATTAGTTTTGCATTAATTCATAATGCAAATAAGAATAATGCTATTAATCTACAACAGTCTTTTGGTTGGGGTGCTCATTATACAAGTGACTTCGTATGTTGCTTAGCAGAACAGACAGAGTGCTGGTTTTAAGAGATGTACATTTATTAAAAAAAAAAAAAAAAAAAAGTAGTTTTTCAAGATGATAGCCCGGATTTCCACAGCTGCTATTGAAAAATAAGAAATAGGAGAGACTTGAGTCATTGGGGTGGACAAATCTCTCTTGGAATTTTGTTAATGGGAATCTTTTCATTAGTCCATGATTGTTTCTGGGTATTTTGTAGCCTTATGAAATGATAATATACTGTACTGGTTTTGTACTTTTTTAATAAATAGTTTTATTTTCTATTTTTTTGTTTCTTTTCCTCTTTACATGTGTGGTTGAGAACAATCAGTGCAGTGTTTCTGTTTTGTTTTTTATTTTTACTTCTTTTCAGGACACAACAGGTTTTAACACCCCCCTTCTCAGACCTCGTGTGATTGGAGAATGGATTGGACGTGAAGAGAATGATGCAGACCCACTGGCTGCTGAGATGCTGCAGCCACCAATACCAAGAAATAAAAATGAGCAGTGGGACAGCGAGGATAGCAGCAGTCCTGGAGGAAGGTGGGATTTTGGTTCAGCCTAGAAATTTTACAGTTTATGAAGCAGTGCTACCTTTGTAATACCTCATTTCTGAGAGCAGAGTGCAGGTCTTTTAAATTCCCATGCCATAATGTGGCAGCATGCAGAATAAATTGAAGACATTAATATATGACTGGTTTATTCTCATGCTTTTATATATGATTAACTTAATATTCATTTGCAATCTCATGGTTTTATTCCTATATATATATAGCTAAGCGTATATTGACATGATTGGGGTCCGTTGTGTAATAATTTTGTGATGTGTAGCTTCATTCAAATACTTCAAACCTTTCTGTCTTCCATCAGTTGGTAGTAGCTATTGTTAATCTTCTTGACACTTTAGTGATAAATCTGATTTTCTTATTTAAAGGAAAGATAGTCAAAGGGAAACAGTATCTATGTTATTTTTAATGGGACTTCCTAAATTAATCTTCAGTTCTTATACTTAGTATCTTGGTGTTAACAATTCTTTCTCAAAGAGAAAATTGTATTCTTGTCAGTAAATAACTTCTGACAATTTATTGCACTTGACTGAGGGGTGGGGGAGTATGTTTTTTCATGTGCTTAAGCTACATGGAAGAGATAATAATTTTTAGGAGGAGTCCATTTTCCATGCTTTAAAGATACCTGTTTATCACAGAAAATAAGGTATTCACAGTCTTTCTTTAAAATGGGTTCATGCTTTTTTTTTTTTTTTTTTTCAAGTGTAAAGCTTATGCACTGCCTCTGTTAATTGGCTTAAACACCTGCGGTTCTCTCTCAGCCCTGTAGCCTTTCTCCTTGGTTACAGCTAGTACTCTGACTGCAGCAGATGCTGTTTTCTTCCTCTTTTAAGAAGGCAGAAACTCTCTGCTTTCTCTTTGGAGAGGTCTAAGGTATTCCTTCGCTGAGTCCTCCGTGTGCCTTCCACATTGAAATTCACCTCCCGGTCACAAGGAAACTAGTCCGTCACTTGCTGTACTCTTACAGGCTGCATTCATTAACTTCCCTCACATGTTGGGAGTGATTGTTATCCATGAGTACTTCTTTCTTCTTTTAATTAGATTATTGTGGGCGAAGCTGCAAGTGCTACTATTTCAGAGAAGTAGCAGCATGTAATAATGATCCCGCAGCCAGACGTTGGACTGGAACCAATGGAACTCAGACACTGGGTCTCTCCGATGCAGTTCCTGGGAAACTAATGGAGTCAGCAACTGGCACTGCAGCTTGATTGTGAGGGCCTGGGTTTCTTTTTCCGTATTCAGCAGTCCAATAAAGACACTGAATAAAGATCTGTTCCATGTTGCAGAGCAAATTTGAGGATATTGTGTCCCTTCCCTCAATAGGAAGGAGCAGAAATAAGAATCTCTGTCTAATCTCTAGAAGGAAGCAAAGAGGTTTAGTTCTGAGTAACAAAGATGATTCAAAGCAGTGTATTTTTCTTTTTGGAGAGAGCAGTACAAGCTGTGAGAAACCTTACAGCTAAAGCTATAATTAAAAAAAATGTGATTAACAGCTTTGAGAATAGTATTTGAGAAGTCTTGTTAAGTATCATGACAGTCACGTTGCCTGGTATATGAAATAAGGAGAATATGGTGTACTTGATGCCAGGAAAGACTCATGGGTCATTGATATCTCTAGTTTTTAGGTGCAGTAAGTGCTGAAGACCTGTTGAAAAATGTGTATCGTTAAGTGGGAATACTGATTTTCAGTGCAAATGAATAACTACTAAATCACATGCAGCATATGGATTTACATTTGGATGACTGATTTTATGTCTGGGATAATTCTTTGCTTCATTAGCATTTCATCAGCTTTTGTAAGGCATTTATAAAAAGCATGTTTGCAGTCTTGTGAAATAATCATAAAATTGCAGAAAATCAAGATAGTGGTAGTACTAAAATTGATGCCACCTATATATGGAAATTTAAAAGACCTGTATTGATCAAGATTAATCTGAATTGTTCACTGATATTAGGCAGTTTCTTCAAGGTCTGATTCAGTGTTACTGGGAATTAAAGTACTATTAGCAGTATTTGGAACTGACTATACACCAAATGCAAGTAATCAGTAAAGATTGAAAAGAATTTTTGGCTACCTCATCTGTATTTCATTCATCTACTTCATAGTTACTGTAACCTAAAATAATTCAGTTACATTTTCACCTGACAACTCAGAGGGAGCAATTTGAAATTTACATTAAATGTTTCCAATTATATTGTGTTAAATTCTATTTAGCAACACTTTTAATAAAAAATTATAGTTTATTGATCCACTAATTATCAGGATTTATGTGATAAACCAGCAAACTCTCAAAACTAATCCTAATCTTTAGTTACAGCATAAGAACAGGAAAGTGGAAACTATAATTGTTCCATTATTTCCAGGTAATATGTTTTCTTTTACCTATCACTAAACATAAGGAAATGCTACATAAATGAAATACTTTATAAATATCCAGAGGTTTAGGCTTTGTCAGATCACTGGTAGAATAATTACCATTGGTGTCATGTGACTCCCTCTCTCTGAGTTGTTTTCACAGACCACAGCGTGCAGGTGTTTTTCTGTCTGGTGGAAGGGGAAGCCCTGGCTCTTTACACATTCATAGCATTCTATAGAGAACTGAATAGGCTGCAGAGAATGGCATATTCCTATGGACCACTGGTCTTCAATAACGTGCCCATTTTCAGTATTGGTCTTTTCAGCATAAAGCAGACCATAGTGAGCATACATAGTATGTGATATTTGGGAATCTGTGAGTTGTCTGCTTTTTCTGTCTTTGCAACAATGAACCTCACTTTTTGTTCCATTCAGCAGTGGGCAGTGGGAAAGAACCACTATTTTCTCCTTAAAAAGATACAGTCCTGTGATGATGAGCAACAGAAGCACACGTGTATCTGAAAGCCAGGCCCAGTTATTTTAAAAAAGAAGGAGAATTAATTTTGAGCAACTGAAAGAACAGGTTTCACTATTACTTTGACTGGGAAAGATAGTGTAGCCAGTCTGAGGTAGCTGTATTAGTGATGTCTTCTCAAACTAATGATGGGTCACCTTTTTGCCCTTAATGTTCTGGTTTGCTACAGAGGAAAGATTGTATTTGTCACTGGTTTTGTACTGCTCTCCGTTGCTGCTGTAAGGGAGCAAGGCAAGGTATTAATATGTGATAAGGGACCATATAAAAGTGGTGATGGCAATCCTGCTGGTACTAAGCTCATCTTTCAGAAATTTGAACACAGTGAAAATAGGATTAAACTCATTTCCAAGTCATTGTTACTGGTTTTCTACATTAAAAGTTCCCAGGAGAAATTCTGAGAAGCAAGGCTCTTGGGAAACTTCCTCGAGGGATGATGTATGTACACACTGGGGTATTTGAGTGATTTTTAGTATGATGCTTTTGTTTCTTAGAGCCCAAAATGAACTAGAGCTTGCAGAGGCCCCATCCATTACCTGATGTCCTAAGCTCAAAGCATGTTGTTCATCTCCAAGGTCTACTTTGTCTTTTTAGTGTTTATCTTTGCAGTGGGAAGATCTGCCTTCCTGCAACAGACTATGAAACAGTCTGAGGTGTTGCTGATATCATCATGTGGGGTGCCAAACTTCTGCCCCGTTGTCTTTCTTTTGATATTGTAAGGAATCAGATATTGCTAGCTGTAACAAGTCCTGCCTTAGACCCTTTTGCTAACTTCTGTGCAGTTCCAGTTGTCTGTTACTTAGGTTAGGGACAGAAGTCAACAAACCATGAGAATTGTTATAACTATATAGTCCTTAATTCTATGGGGTCATGATAACATAACCACTCAAGGGAGCAGTTCTTTGTTGTCAGCTTTGTTGCTGTGCAATCAATGCCTTAGCAATACTGATTGACATACTGTTGTTCTCTATATGTATCTTATTTAGACATGATTAATGCCCATAAAGTCAATGTGAAATTTCCCATCATCATTCAATCAAAACTTTAGATAGGAACTGAAAACACAAACTGACTTGCAACATCTAATGATCAGGGAATGAGTGATAACCAGCTGGTTTATCTGTGATCTGATGGCATTAACCTTCAGATTGGGAGGACATCATGGGCTACAGTAATCTGACAAATGTATGACATATTTTGTAGAGAGCATCAGTAAGAGAAAGTTGTGGTTTCCTCCCTCACAGCTTAAAAATGGAGCCAAAGACCAAAGGACTAAAACAACAACAGCAGCAACATAAGAAACTGCTGGCTGCCATGCTTTCTCAGGATTCCTTTGATTCTGCTCAAAGCACAGCTCCATCTGTAACCGAAGAAGATATTGACAATGAAGATGATGCAATGGAACTGCTGGGTAACTGCAAAAAATTATGTGTATTTTCTGATACTTTTTTTTTTTTATTACAGATTAATCCAAAAAGTGTAATATCCAATCAAACATAGATTTGTCTAAAACTACTCTCTATGTTTGAAGCTAAAGTATCCAATGGCTGTGTGAAGGATCATAGGGTTTAGCTTGCAACTTTCAGGAGTGAATATGATGGAGACTGTATATGTGTGTGAATAAACTGCTAGCTGCATCAAAATCCCACAAAATATCAAATGCTTCAGGTGTTTAAAGTAATTAATTTGATTTCCTACGTAAATCACTTGCAGATTCTACTTGGAGAATGTATTTATGTACAAGGAGCAGAATCAGCTTCACTGACTTCCATCTGGGTCTTCTTTTTCTTAGCTGTATCACAGTTCTAACTTCAATGTTTTATTTGGGACTTACTAGCTACAAATAGCTTATGCAATGTGAATTTGTAACCTCTCCAGAGCATTCGATTGTAATTTTCCGGTAGTCTGTATTGTACATTAAATTGCACTCTAGAAGGCTTTATGCTCACTGCTTCCTTCCTTTCCTAGAATCAGTAGTTGTGAAAGGAGGGAAATTGTTGAAGAAGGTTAATTAATAGTCTCTTTTCTACCATTTTTAAAAGCCTCAATGTAGGCTTAAAAGGCAGTCATGGATATTTCACACACACACACTACACACACCCCCCTCTAGTTTTTGCTATATAGAACTGTATGGGAAATATGCAATCTCAGGGTAGATCAGCTATTCAGTTTACGAATTCTATCACAAATTATTTATTTCAGGTTGGCTCTTAATCTAAAAACACATGGTGCTCTACTCTGCTTCTGTTATATTTCTATTGTTTCTTTACTACAGTCTTCATGGAATGATAGAGTAGTTGAGGTTGGAGGGGACTGCTGCAGATATCTAGTCCAATCCCTTGCTCAAAACAATCAGCTAGAGCAGGTTGCTCTGAATGTTGTTCAGTTGGGTTTTGACTCTCCAAAGATGGAAGACTCTACAACATCTCTGGGCAGCCTGTTCCAGTGCTTGACCATGCTTATGGTAAAAATGTGTTTTGTTATACTTAAATAATTGTGAATTCATATATGCTTTCTTTTTTTCAGTAGTGTTAAGTTTGATACATGCATTTGATTTTCCAAGAAAGAAGAGATAATGGGCTGGGTCACTCAAGTGTCACAGTGGGTCAATTAGTTCTTTGTGTTTGAAGGAAGTCCCAGTATTTGTGGCTGTGAACTTGCAGTCTTCATGGAATTAGTTGGTATTTCCAGAACTAATCTCTGGATTCCTCTGAAGGCCATAATTAGTCTGTAGCTGTATTTCCTCCTGCAATTTACAGATCTTTCCAACTTTATCAATGTGAAATAAAAAGAAAGCTGAATGGGTGTCTTGTGCTGGCATAAACCACAGGACCCCTCTAGGATTCTGTGGCGTCTGGAAGGTACAGTAGGTAAGTGTGTGTGTGTGAGATATCATTGACCTCATTATGTATCACACAGAATAGAGTCTTTTGTTAACTTCTGTGGAGATAGTGAGGAAAAAGGTATCCAGTAGATGTGTAGGTCTTTCCTTTCAGACATTTTAATCCCTGAAGGTATCTGGAACCCGAAAGTCAATATAAAGGAAATTTTATTTTATAGTGAATATTATCTGTGTACAAACAATTGGGGTTTTGTGGGCTTTTTGTTGTTTTGTTTTTTTTTTTTTTTTTTGTATTTTTTGTTCTGTTGTTTGTTTGCTTGGTTGGTTGTTTTTTTTTTTTTTTAATAAGGAAGGGCATGATTGTAAGAATCCATTCTGATTCTGTGCCATGCAAAACTTGGAACATTTTTGCATCATGCATTTCATTGAAAATGGCAAAGTTTATACAAAAATCACCTTAAAACTAGGAAAGATCACAAACAGGACCTCTGGTTTGGCTTGGGTGTTAATAGAAGTAATTCTGAGATTCTAAAGCAAAATCATGGCATACTTGATGAGTAGCAATGGTTACAGTGATCATAATATAGCCATGGTATAGTAACTACCATTGATAGTATGTTGAGTATATGATAGTTCATCTTGGTGTTGAAAGTGCTGTGCTGCTGAAAGAATGGCTTTTATTTTGTTTCTTATTTTTCAATTTTCTGTTTTATATTTGATATAACAGTTAGGTTACATGCTGCAGAACTGCTCAAAACTTGAGGATATGATGAAGTGTTACACAGTAAGGGTGTTTTTTCTTTTGAAGGTGACATAAAGAACTTAAATTTCTATCAGAAAACATAGGTATTTTTCAGTGTTATATTTTCCAGATCAGCAACTGTATGATACTGGAATTGAAGTTTTTTATTATGTTCTGCATTAATCCATTAACTGCTTTGATGCTTTTTACACTGCTTATATGCAGTACGGCTAATTTCAAATCATGGCTTTCTGCCATCACTGAATTGCAGGGCATTGTTGCATATAGCTACTTGACTTGTTCCCTTTAGAGTTCAGTATTGGTTGCTTATTCATCCTTTTCTTAAAAAAATAACAAAACTTCACGCTTCTAAGTCTGGATTCTGGGAAAACAAATTCTACTATTTATAGCAGATGATTTTAATGTGTACCCTACTTACAATGCAGGTTTTTGCAGAACACAAGCTTCCATCTTTATGCGTGTGAATAATTTTCAGAGTTTCCTTGATTTATTTAGGTATTAAAAGCAAGAAACTGACTGTTGGTATATTTTCTTTTAAAAAACCCTTCGTACTACTCATCAGAATTGTCAATGAAGGTTTAGCTAAAATGAAACATGCCAAATAAAAGAATCAATTAAGCTGTTATACTTCTGAAGAATCCATCTCAAAAGAAATATATGTGCAAACATTAAAAAGAATATTATGGGGCTACATTGTGATTTCAGTCATCACTGCTTATATTAAGATAAGTTGCATAGGAGGGCAGTTAACACACTGATAACTTTCTCAGTGTGTTCAGTTATGCAGGTGCCTGAAATAGATTACTGGTAGATAATGTCATAATGGAAAGGATCTTCCTGACTTCAAAAAGCTGAGAACTGGAACTGTAAAATCACATGTATTTGTAAATGTAAAAGGGTGAAACAATTGAGGTCTGTCTGAAAATAGTATCAAGTGGCTCGTTTTTTATACATCATAATGCCAAGTATTGTGTTTTATAAATCTAATCAGGAGCTGAAGTAGTTCTCTGTGAAACTTTGCACTCCTTTTGGAATTCCATGACATTTGGACTTAAGCTGTCTTTTGCATTTGATTGAAGTCCACTGATACTTTGAAATCATGTTGTTCCCTCAATATCTCACTGATGTCCATTGTAGAGAACTGAACTCCATTTTCCCAGAAATTGCTGGGAATATTGATTGAACAGTCACCAAAGCATGAGTCATTTGGTTTTAAAAAAATCAATTGTTTGATTAAGTGTAAGAATATCATTGTTTAAATGGATTGCTATGCATAAACATACACATAGTAAAAGCATAAGGGTTTTTTTTGTAGCACACTTGGACTTACATATACATTCATGAGTTTTTTACAAGAAAGATGAAATTCTGTATTGTTTTACACAATATCTATATAAAGCACAAGTCCTGTGAGGAGGAGGAGCGGCTGAGGGAACTGGGATTGTTTAGCCTGGAGAAAAGGAGGCTGAGGGGAGACCTTGTCGCTCTCTACAGCTGCCTGAAAGGCGGTTGTAGGGAGGTGGGTGTTGGTCTCTTCTCCCAAGTAGCAAGCAACAGGGCGGGAAGAAGCTGCTTCAAGTTGCGCCAGGGGAGGTTTAGATTGGATATTAGGAAAATTTCTTCACCAAAAGGCTTGTCAAGCACTGGAACAGGCTGCCCAGGGAAGTGATTGAGTCCCTGTTCCTGGAGGTATTTAAAAGACATGTAGGTGTGGTGCTTAGGGACAGGGTTAGTGGTGGACTTGGCAGTGTTATGTTAACAGTTGGACTCCATGATCTTAGGGGTCTTTTCCAGCTTAAATGATTCTATGATATTTAGTCATACTGCTTGATCACATCTTTTCTTGTTGTTGTCCAATCTTTATGCATGCTCACAGTGTTAAAAATCTTACCATATGTTAATACATGCTATGCAATAGTTAACTGTGAATCACCATTCCAAAGATAAGGTGTAGCCAGGAAGCTCACAGGGGTGTGGTTGAACTGAAAGGTGGTGATAACTGAAGTCCTTTTCCTGCAATCGATACATACGTCTCCATGTTTTCAATGCAGATAATCATATATCTGAGCTAATTTTAAGTGTTTGCAGCAGCAGGACTTGTAAAACCATCTCTTCTTCAGAGCTGGTTTCACAGTAATAGTGGTAGAAATCCTAAGTGAAAATTCAGTGTTCGTCTGCTTCATGTTTATTGTGTGTAATTCTTGCTATTCAGTAACAAACCAGAATTTGAAGATAGAACTGCACTTTAAGTAGTAATATACTTTTTAATTATTGCTTTGGGAGATACCTGATGTCTTCTGGTTGCTTTAATAACTCTTCTTCTAATATTTCATTTTTTTTTTTCCTTGAGAGCTTTCCAAATGTTAATTACTTAGTCATTGTAAAAGCCCTGAAAGATTGGCTGGTGATATATTTACAATTTTTAACAAGAGGAGATAACCAGAATTTAGTGGAGATTGCCTTTGCCTGTCAGATGAGACAGTAACTCAGTGTCTGCTAGACTACTCCTTAAATAGTCTCTACTACTTTTCTAATAAGTCTGAGTGCTTTAATGAAAGGGTGTCCAGTGCTTGCAGTACATTTCATCTGGTTCAACAGATATTCCTCATTTCCTTGTTTCCTAGAGGTCTTTGGCAACATGCAGGAAACAAACTCTAGACCTGATAAATTATTCTAATACTAGCAGCAGGTTGTTCCTCTTTGTCGTCTGTCCCAGCTGGACAAAAACTTCTCTTCCATTATGTGACTAGAATACATCATTTGCCAGTAGAGAAGCCACGAGGCCCTGGGAAAGATGGTATGTGAG